TTTAGTCCAATACGTTGATTGTTTTAAACTGATTTACTAACTTTAAAGGTGTTCTGATCCCGACTTGCATCAATTTGCTGATTTCTGTTTTCTTTACAGCACAATTTGATAGTGCTTGTTCATATGATGTATGGACATAAGATTGCCTTAATTGATGATTTTTAGGAATTGACTTGGGATCATTAATTAGTTATTTAATATCTGGATCTTTAACTACTTAATTATCATTATTTAATGTAAGGTATATTAACCCATATACTTTTACCTAAAATAGTGAGGGCCCTGGGGAATATACATATACATACATATATATATATATATATATATATATATATATATATATATATATATATATATATATATATATATATATATATATATATATATATATATATATATATATATATATATATATATATATATATATATATATATACATATATATAGCTTAAGATTTTGGTTTACGAAACACAAACAGTGCTCAATACCATATAGATAGAGCGTAATATAGTTTTTCGTTTTACCTCAAAAAACCACAACAGTCTGTTTCATCCGTATAGGAATATTCCATCAGGTGGTGAATAATTTCGAAATTGTAGGTTGCTTTTATGCTATCGAAAGAATGTTCGGAATGCGTGTAGGCGAAACAATGCTTAGGTGAAACAATGCATGCTTGGGTCATTAGGTTTTGTTAACGACCTTGTTTACTCGAAACCGATTTTTGTGACGACATTTGCCGAAAATTTCGCTTCTTTTATTGAGTAAATTGTATTTGTTTATGTCTTTCAAAATGCAGAATTTTTCTTCCAAACATAAATTGCAGCGTTTTGATCCCCCTGTGTACGAAATAGCGTGTTTTAAAATTGACCATTTGATGGTATAATCCTGATTGTTTTCTTTTAATTTCCAAATATGTTTCGAAAGTTCCGTTTTGTTTGAGTCTTTTTTATGACGAAAAGATGAAGTGTGGTTAGCGTAACGTTCCTTAAATGTAGTCGCTGTCATACCAATGTAGTGTTTAGTGTCGTTCGTGTTGTTCGTTGTGACTGTTGCTTTGTAAATAATGTTGCTGGTCATGCATTGTTTCGGTAGTGGGCAAGTGTTTTTGTTGTCGCAGTTACAGTTGTCAGTTTCCGTATTCTGTGATTGACTGTTCCTAATTATATGTGCGTTGTGTTGGGTGATTATAGACTTAACGTTGTTCATGCAACTGTAGCTTACTTTTAAAGTGTTTCTGTTAAAAATCTTGTGTAGTTTGTGCTGTAGCGGGAAGTGTTTGTCAATTAAACTTAAGAATTCCCGTCCTATGTTCGTGTTAACACTCTTACTAAATGGTGGGTTGAACCAAATTATGTTGCGTTGCCTATTCCTACGTGTCCGAAGGAACGTTACGCTAACCACACTTCATCTTTTCGTCATAAAAAAGACTCAAATGTATGTATGTATATATATATATATATATATATATATATATATATATATATATATATATATATATATATATATATATATATATATATATATATATATTCATTTTAAATCACTTAGATAAGAGGTTTGGCAAGGAAAACATCGGCCTTTATAGAGATGATGGTTTGGCTATTATAAAAAGCAAATCCGCCCGTTTACTAGACAAAACTAGAAAAGAGCTACACAAAATTTTCGAGCAATTTGACCTGAAAATCACCGCCGAAGTAAATATGAACGTTGTAAATTTTTTTTAGATGTTACTTTCGACCTGATCAACGCAAAACACAAACCATACAGGAAACCCAATGACGATCCATTGTACATCCACAGACACTCAAACCATCCACCAAAATTACAAGACAATTACCTACAGCTATCAACAAACGCATTGCACTTCTCTCATCGGACGAACAAACATTTAAGGAATCCACACCTATTTACCAGAACGCTCTTAGACATAGTAACTTTGATCACGAATTTACGTACACTCAGGATGCACCGCAACGGACACGTAGGAATAGGCAACGCAACATAATTTGGTTCAACCCACCATTTAGTAAGAGTGTTAACACGAACATAGGACGGGAATTCTTAAGTTTAATTGACAAACACTTCCCACTACAGCACAAACTACACAAGATTTTTAACAGAAACACTTTAAAAGTAAGCTACAGTTGCATGAACAACGTTAAGTCTATAATCACCAAACACAACGCACATATAATTAGGAACAGTCAATCACAGAATACGGAAACTGACAACGGTAACTGCGACAACAAAAACACTTGCCCACTACCGAAACAATGTATGACCAACAACATTATTTACAAAGCCACAGTCACAACGAACAACACGAACGACACTAAACACTACATTGGTATGGCAGCGTCTACATATAAGGAACGTTACGCTAACCACACTTCATCTTTTCGTCATAAAAAGACTCAAACAAAACGGAACTTTCGAAATATATTTGGAAATTAAAGGAAAACAATCAGGATTATACCATCAAATGGTCAATTTTAAAACACGCTATTTCGTACACAGGGGGATAAAACGCTACAATTTATGTTTGGAAGAAAAATTTTGCATTTTGAAAGACATAAACAAAGACAATTTACTCATTAAAATAAGCGAAATTTTCGGCAAATGTTGGCACAAAAACCGGTTTCGAGTAAACAAGTTCGTTAACAAAACCTAATGATCCAAGCCTGCATTGTTTCGCCTAAGCATTGTTTCGCCTACACGCATTCCGTACATTCTTTCGATAGTATAAAAGCAACCCACAATTTCGAAATTACCCACCACCTAATGATTCCAATACGGATGAAACAGACTGTTGTGGTTTTTTGAGGTAAAACGATATATATATATATATATATATATATATATATATATATATATATATATATATATATATATATATATATATATATATTAGCCAGCATGGCATGAATGTTGCTTTGTTTTGGACAAATAATTCTGGTACATGGTAAACCGGACAACAATATGTGGCCAGTTTTTAATAGGACTATATAGATAAAACTAGGGTGCTGTAAAACACTGTGTTTTACTACGCCCTGGTACAACTTAATTCCCTGCACTTTTGCTAATGATCTGGGAAAGAATGAAATGTCCGAGGGGCAAATCCACTCCTAAAACGTGTACGAGATCATAAACCATATGATTTTTTGGTCATTTTGTTGTTAACTTTGTTTTATGTGTTTCTTTTTTTATGATTTTCTAAATTCTTGTTGTGTGATTTTTTTGTGAGTTCTTTTCGCGATTTTTTGTGATGAAAACTGAAGGTGTACGCGATTTAAATTAGTGATTTGCCCCTCATGCAGAAATGTCAATTTGGACCAGACCAGATCTCAGGTAGGACTGGGACAAACAGCTCCGGCACGATTCAGGTCTTGTCCTCATTTTTAATATTTTAATTCGAATCGGTGATGTGCAGCCACTGATCTGAAAACTAGCCTGGATAGTGCATCCTGTTCTGCATGCATAAATGTTTCAATGACGGCCACATTGGTGTGACCACCACAAATCTATTTTGGTGTTGGTGACATAATAGAGCCAGGGCTTGAAATAGCGGACTGCCAATGGCCAAAAGCAGGTCATATTTTAGAAATGGCAAGCAATGACAAAGTTGAACTGCCAAGTCAAAAAAAATGGTAGCCTAGGTGAAATTTTATAGATATATTTCATTTCATTTGCTTACCACAACTCATATATACTAGATCATTTAAATAGTTACTAAATATACGTTTATATTTGAAATGTAAATCCACGTTTACTGTAGTAAAATAGACAAGTTTAAAAATAATAAAAATGCATGCATATCATGAAAACATTGATTTTTGCAATATGACTCATATTAGACATCGCCATGCATTTTGGCAGTTCAATGAATTAAAATGGCAGGCTAAAATTTTATTTCACCTGCCAAAAAATTTTATAGACTGCATGGCAGGCCGTATTTTTTCTCTACTTCGAGCCCTGAATAGATCTGACATTACAGTTTCTGAGAAAGTGCGGATTGACACAACTACATCAAAAATACAAGCAGAATGTATTTTTCAGATTGTACCCCTATCGACAGTATATCAATAGTAATATTCCTATCGATAGTATCTCTATCCCTACTAGTTAAATATCGCTAATAATTAATCAGGAAAATTATCTGAATCGCCTTAGCTGAAAAGATGCCGGCATATCAATTTTGGATCGGTTATCATAGCAGAAAATGTTTTTAAGATGCATATCCTGTTAGAAAATTGACTCCCTGTGAAACACCGATACATGATATACCTTAATAAAATTGATCATTTGAAGGAACATTACCTATACTTACTTTAAAGTGCGACTAACCCCCCAAATATAATGGTATGTGTAATATTTGGGTCATTCTATAAGAAGAAATGTAATGTATCTTTATCGTAAAAAACCTCATCTTGATCAACTTTTTCACCGTCAAAGTTCCAGATATGATGTCATTTAGTGAATTTTTGGTACAAAAAACAAAGGTAAACTAATTTTCAATTCACCTTATGACATCATATCCGGAAACTTTGACAGTGACAATTTTTATCAAGATGGGATTTTTTATTGTAAATATATATATTACATTTCGTCTTCGAATGACCCAAATATTACACATACCAAAAATCATATTAGTGGCTAGTCGCACTTTAAACATATTTTACATTTGTTTTCGTATTAAGGAATCTAGAGAATGCAGTTCTGGCAAATTATTAATACCTTCCATTGCTTTGCTCGTTCTCCTACAAGTCTGGTTGCTGATGCTGCAAAAGGAATAGAATTGCTCGTTTCTCACGGAGAGTCGGATTAATTTGCATATTTAAATAGAAGTTTCATTATGTTATTCAATATTGTACAGTTTTAGTATTTAATTAGATATAAAGTGTATATTGATATACGGATACTGTTTCGCCGCATACCGGATGGTCCCGGATATTAGTCTACCACATAGACCGGTCAGAGGAAAATGATAACTGGATACTAATGGTGATACTTGTGGCAATACTTATAGTCCATCGTCGTAGTATGTGCTTTATCTCGTATATGATAAGCCATGCCTTGTCAGATGTTGGGACCCTAGGTAGCGGCGCTACCTGCAAGTGCCTGAAGCTAACTGTAATCCTTTGTCAGAAGGTCTTATGCATGATTAAGTAAAGTTGAAAATTTCAATTTTTCCGAATACATTTTGCAATATTTATCGACCAGATTTCATAAGAGTCGTACTCAAGATGTAAATTCATCAAATGATGCCATCAAGAACTTTTCTGTTCTGTGGCCGAATTTTATTCATTAGCCGACGATCTTGTCGACTTGATCATATGAAAATTTTCCAGCAATTGGGTTTCGGCAAATTAGCGGACACTCAATTTTGACAATCAGGAAACATAACTAAAAAAAAACGGTCCCCTGTCGCATTTGCAAGCTTCAAGTGAAGCCGGGCAAGTTTGGACCACGCAGGGCTACCTGTAAAAAAACTAAATATACAGGCATGTAATATATATAGCGGGAAATCTGCAGCAGAAAGCAGTTTACATCTCGAAAACGTATTCCGCTTGACCAGTATTGTCCCTTTTTCGCATTTTTAACGCACAAAAAATGACAAAGGAACACTTTTTCGGTTTCATAGTTCTACTAAAGTTACTGTACCATGCAATACTATCCGGTAAATATCTGGCGAAATGTTATCGGTACATCCTTAATATAACTATATATAAGGCTTGGCGGCACGTTAATAATTGGGTATTGCTGTAATTCAAAATCCAATATACAAGCATGCATGCAAAAATCAACATGTAACACGTTGTTTAGCGAAACACGTTGTTTAGCGTTTAAGAGATTTGATTTACCACAGGAGACCCAGGTGCGGGCAAATAGAGCCCGGGTGTCCACGGGGCTGACACCACCTGAAGCTTTTTTTGACGTTATTTAGTTTATCATTTGATTGTAGTTTTATTGCGCACTGAACACAAGATCAACGGACCGCGCGTAAGAAGGGCTCTGCCGCGTACGCGAATGAAGATGGTTGTCAAAATGAACAGATTTATAAGGCCAAATAATATATAACAAATAGAAAAGAGACTTAATAATTATCGTATATTGTATAGATCAAGTAATTTTTACGAAATATTTCTGGAATAGTAAGAAAATCCAGATACTAATAATATATTCAAAACTATTTAATGCTTAATTAAGATTTTTATTGCAGTTTATTAAATATTTATACCGTATTTGTGACTGTTCGTTTACTGCTCAAGTCTTTAATTTTACATTAAATTAATAATGATTTTATTATTTATTGAAAGGCTAGATTCCCCTTTTAAAAATTCCCATTCCCCGATTCCCGTTCCCCCTTTTAAAGGTAGTCTAAAGACCCGAAAAGTATATTTCAGTCCATATATCCGCGTTTTACCCTAACCCCTTTTTTAAAAAAGAGCCGAAAAGTATATTTCACACCATTCCACATTTTACTCGATTGGGTAAAACGCGGATATGCCTTTTAAAGACCCGAAAAGTATATTTTTCACCATATCCACGTTTTACCCGATTGGGTAAAACGCGGAGTTTGAGGTTTAAAACATATTTTAAAGAAAAATAGGTCATCCATCTGTCCGTCCGTCCGTATCAGCGTTTTACCCTAACGACGCAAACATGTCCATATGTCATAGACTATGATCGAGTGTTACTTTACTTTAACATGAATACTATAAATACTGTAATGGGCAATATAATATTGTTGTGATGGGCAATAAGCTAACAGGCGACAGGCAATATACCGAACAAGACCACGAGAGTTTCTCACGCATCGAAACTTGATATGATGTATTAATGAGTTTAAATAATTGGCATTGCCATTAACCAATTTATTAATGGCCATGCATTGGTCCATTGGTATTGTCATTGACGTTGTGAATTTCAAACTACTAAATGCTCTTAAAAAGGACAAACGGCTCCTTTATTCCGTGTTTACTGGCAACTGTACTATTTATATATCAAAAGTTAAGTACCTGCATCGAAACTTGATAAATCAGTTTTGATTTCAAACTACTAGTAGCTACTATACTAAATCAGTAAATACTATACTAAATCAGTAAATACTATTTGACTTTGTATTGTCTTGTACTATATGTACATTCATGCAACAAAAGTAACTTCCAGCTGGTCAAAAAGCAGAAAAATGTTGAACTTTCGAGGCAATAACTGCACGCATTTTGGTTAACGGTTAATTTTTTTTCAATCTTGAATTGTATTGTTTCTTTTTTTGAACACACCAATCTTCATGCACCACCAATACCCATGGCTAAAATATGCATGAAAATAATCATAAAGATTAAAGTATAACTGAAATATTAAAAAGAACTTATTTTTTCTTTGTCAGCATGCATTGAAACATGTTTATTGTCTTTGTATGTTAATTTGCATGGCGATATAAAATAATATCTGATTTGTTTTGGCACGACCATGTCCATGCACGGGTCAATTGTTCAAAACTGGTTGGCGCTAACCCGGGCTAAAATACAGTCACTCGACTCATGAGTAGTTAAAAATTTGACCTGCTAACTGTGTTGCCTGTTGGTTTGTTTACACTGCACGTCCGCGTGTATTTCAAAACTTTTGTTAAAATAAAACTTCTATTATAGTATTGACTCGGATATGATTTTTGAAAAATATCTTCATGTTCAATTAACAAACTGTTGGGGGAGGATTCAGGACTTTGAATTTTTTTTATTAACCTGTACAGCTGTACTAGGCTATAATCATCTGGTAAAGTATTCGGCGACGCGTAGCCTAAGGCTAAGCCAGGATCTAGTTGCCGTTGCCAAATAAATAAACGTTTGTAGACGTAGTGTATTCCCCGCAGTGTTGTAACCAGTCGAGTCATTGACTCGGACTCGAGTCGTAATTTTCTGCGACTTGACTCGAGTCAAATACGAAAAATGACTCAACAGCTCCAATTAAATGACTCGATTCGGACTCGACTTGTTGATTTCTGAGTCAACTTGTTGATTTCTGAGTCAACTCAGCTACAACTTATTCAGGATCAATTCATCAAAAATATTGTAGTTGAGTAGGTTGGGAAGAAGAGTCCAATGCATCCCTATGCATCCTGTCGATCATATTTTACGCATGTTTGCGTTCAGTTTGGTGCTGAGGCGTTCGGATTCTAGTAGTGCGTTGTTTCAGTGGTGTTGGGTTTTTGGGACACCATTTACAGTATACTGTGACTTTAAATAAAAGGTCTATGTTTATAGGAAGAGGAGGGGCACCATGCAATGGACTTTACGTCCAGTTTGTGCCTTGTCCGTTTGAGTACAGCTCTTTTTAATTGTATGTTTTGATGAATATTTGTTGAATTAACTTGCACTCGATAAAGTTTAACAAAGTCCTGAAAGGGCCTGAAGAAATAAAAAGTAATTTTCGATGCAGATAGGTGTGTTTCCACTTGTAGAGTGGCATTTTGTTCATCCTCAGACTTTGTTTCTGTGAGTACGCGCGAATTGGAAAGCGCGCGTGACTCGACCTGTTGGTTTCAAGTTTCAATAAAGTTTAATTTCATACCAAAATTGCAAAAAGGGCAAAATATTAAACAAGAGAAAGAGTGTTTCTCATGCATCGAAACTTGGTATATGGCCAATGGCAATGACACAATGTGTCAATCTTATAAGAGTTAAGTTTAATGTAAAATTGTCTTTGTCTTCGGTTCTGCACAGTCAGTGTGTATTATCGCACCTTAAAAGTGGCCGCCACGCATGGTCAAATATAATAAATTGAAACAGGACATCGGAAATTGTAGAAAATTAAAGCCGATTTACACAACACAATTCTTGCTTAATCAATTTATAACCATCCCAACCTGCTTACAACTATATAGACCTTTCCCCTTTTAAGTGAGATTTTGATCTAAACAAGTCTGGACAAAACTTTCATCACAGCTTGAAAGAGCATACCAAAATTAGTAATATTCCGAAGTTTCGTTGCAAAATGTTGTAAAATGCGGATAATATAGCCTTGCGAAGTTTGCCGTTTTTCAGTCATTTTGCATTACAAACGGGAAATTGATAATCAGATGACCAAACTGATTTTTGTATATGACTCATGAGCCTTTCTGTCCTCAGCGATGATGAATCGATTCCTGCACTCCTGCAGTATGAAGTTGTAAGATTCAGGAATTTATGATTGTCGCCGAACTTGATTAGTTGATGTTGGGTTCCAGCGAAGGTCATAGTCCATCGCAGCCGCTCTTTGTGTGGTTCCAAAGTGCGGATGAGACAACAGCGTAGGTGACAATATGAACGATATATACTCTCTGAAATATGGTCTTGTCGATTGAGGACTCTCTTCAATTGAGCTATCTTTTTATATACCAATATTCTAAATGATCCCAAAGTAAAATGTCATCTAATTCTGTACATGTGCAGTGATGAAATCGAGAATTTTCCGAATTGAATTTTGTACAAATTTAATATTATCGAATGGATAACCATTTGTAATAAGTAAAGGCTAAAGCCCAAGGGCTTGCGTAAATTACGATATATACAACCTGACGAAAGACAAGAGCCAACGATTACTGTAATTTCTCCAATATAATACGACTATTTGTATTCCATCAATCTAGCTAGTCTTCAATTTGTTGCACTGCTGTATAGGCAGGGGTATATGTAGTAACCGCTTTATATATTAACCTACGTACACGCAGGTTACTTTATCTAGCCGACTAGCCTCATCCTGGCAGTCATAAAATTGTCTAAACGTTCAAATCTGAGTTTATCGCGGTAACAAAGGTAGTAATAAAAAGTGTTTAATTAAGTGATGGTTTGTACCATTTGTAGCTATAGTTTAATTTCTTGCCATAACATACATGTTATGTATGACTATATAGTGTTAAAATGAAGCTTAAATCTGATCTATAGTTCTTAACTTTTCTTGGAAACCCTCAATTCCATTAGGACAATGAGTAATGAGTAATGTCAGCATTTTACTAATATAGGCTATATAGCCCGCAAAGCACGGGTGGCACAGGTGGCGAGTGAAATTTACTGTAAGGTAACTCTGCTTAGCCTACTTTGTACGTAGCCCTTCCACCTTAGCTTAGCGTGCACACGGCTATATAGACTGCATATAGCTGTGTGCATGCTCCGTGACCGTGGTCATACAGATATGCATATGTCGCTATAACGTAGTATAAGTATAGACGGCGCGCTTATATACTGTATAAACATTCGATACGATCACATTCGTAATTCAGCTGTCAACTGCAAGTAAAAAAGATTAGCACTAGATAGGGACCTAATAATAATGATAGACATTCACATGAAAGAATCCAAAGAATGATGTTAAAAATATTGCTTAACTAGTACGGAAATGAGGCAACATAAAATGAAGTTGGAATTCCAGACTCTCAGTTCTAAAACAATATCAAACATTTTCTGAAAGAGACTGAAACACTTTCTGAAACAGGCTCAAACACTCGACTTCAAGTTACCGTTTCGAAAGCGTTGCCAAAGTACGTTAAGGAGCACTTTCCACTCAAGTTGCACCTGCGCTACGCATAAAAGCGCGAGCAAACGACCAAGCTAGCCAGAGAATCGACGCAACCGTCACAATGAAGTGTTGGACAGTTCTAGCCTTGACAGTCTCTGCTGTCTTACTTGGTGTTGGATATGCTGAAGAAACTACAGCGCTTGACGATTTTGAAAAACAACTTAATAGTGACAGTGAAAATGATGGGAAATTGTAAGTCGTACTGTTTGGTTTCTCTATAATGATTTACGTTATTTATTGACATGCATTATTTCCCTATACGTATTCAGTTTATGGCGCCATTTGTGCTGTTGCATGAAGGGATTAGTATGTGTCATTCATACCTGCAGTTGGGGTTCGAATCATGCAATACGCAGTTATCTGATTATAAATTTTGACTCCGTTGCATGTGAGAAGAATGCTTCCAGTTTGACTCCGTTAAAACATCACAGCTTTTCTCTGCTTTCTCTCTGTTTCTTTAAACACCGTATACCAATAAGAGATGGATTTCTAGGAAAAACAGTTAAGAACTGACACGAGATGATCAGCAACTGGGCTTTCTATACTCAGTGGTTAAGAACGCTGTACCAGCTAGCATCGTGGGGCAAAATTTTTCGCAGCTGCTCCCCGTTAGGTCTAAAATTTGATATAAATTTTCGTTCCAACTTTTCGTCTACAAAAGCCCGTCTACATGCATAAATGAAGTCAGTTTAACTAGTTAAAAGAATATTTTATGATTATTTTAACAGCCAAGCTATTTTATTTATGCAGGGCAGATTCATTCATGAATCCAGAAAATGATGATGAAGATGATGACGACAACTCGTAAGTAAAAACCAGGTGATCTTGTGTTCGTATTTTAGCCAATCAGCGCTCAGAAAGGGTTGTCCGAATAGAAATCCATTTTGATGTATTAGTCAATTATATCTTTCGTTATTCTTTATGAAACTAGTTGAAATTTTGTAATTATGTTTGGTTATGAGAACTCTAGCTCTGACAAAAATATGGAATCGAAATAAAGTATATTACAGGAGATATTCAGTTGTTTTAATCATAAAATGGATTTCTATTTGACAACTAGTGCCAGTACTTTTCCGCGTATCAAGATCATTTGGAAGTTTTCAAAGAGATTTTTATCTATTCAACGTATTGTCCAATAATAAGTCGTCTAATTTTGTATGATGTGATTGTTTAAATTTGCATGCAGTCTTGCAGAGCTTTTACACTCATGATTTTATGACCACCTGCTCGATTAATTATTCCAATTAAAGGTTATTTTCAGATAGGCAACCAATCTCGTTCCCCGAGCATGCCCGTTCGCAGGTTAAGGGTGGGCATAGCTCTGGAGAAATCGAATTGATTCACGTTGAATTTCCAACGTGAGTTCTGCGCATGCTCGGCAATGTTGCAAAATATAAATAAAGTATTTAATAGAATTTCCGATTTCGCGTCGAAAATTTGATACATTTTACACTGAAATCGAATTGAAAACAACTAAAAATTCTGGGGGAAATATGTACGAAAGCTTCGGTTGGATAGGGATACAGCTACCTGAAAAATACAAGGAGAACTTCGACGTTTCGAGCGAAGCTTCGATATGTACTGTTAGTGTTTGTATACATCGTACTAATTGCTGATAAATAATAATCTCCTCAATAATAAGTATTATATATTTTTATGCTTTAAAATTTACATTTATATAACTCTCCTGTTAGAATTTATGGCATACGTAGTGATAGCCTGTTAGGTATGACAGTATATAAAAGGTCAAGTACGATGTATACAAACACTATAAACAGCACAAGTCGAAGCGCCTTCGCTCGAAACGTCGAAGTTCTCCTTGTATTTTTTAGGTAGTTGTATCCCTATGAATCCGCAGCTTTCGCACATATTTCCTCCAGAATTTCTAGTTGTTTTCAATCGATTTCAGTGTAAAAAGTATCAAATTTTCGATGAGAAATTCCAAATACTTTGTTTATATAGACCTCACGTTGGAAATCCAACGTACTATCTGCCGTTAGCCAATCACAGGCCTGAATCAATTCGATTTCTCCAGAGCTATGCCCACCCTTAACCTGCGAACGGGCATGCTCGGGGAACGAGATTGATAGGCAACCGTACTTTTATTACGTTTGTTTCCTGCTTTTTGAAGTTTTTGTAATTTTATAAGGCAACAATAAAAGTTTTGTATCTTGTATCTTTGTATCCCAAAATGACTTGTTCCTGTTGCTGAAGTAAAAATTGGTGAAATCCAAAATATACACACCGTGATGAATCATTCCATACCAAAGTAAACCATGGACCATCCAACATATATATTATACCACTATATACCATACCAAATCATACCATACCATACCATACCATACCATACCATACCATACCATACCATACCATACCATACCATACAACAGTACACTAATATAAACACTTATACACCTAAAATTTATTATATATAGGTAATTTTACTATTAATGCTAAAAGCTTTACTTTTAAGACAATTAAAGCACTAGTTCATGTGAACACAATAATATACTTCTTTCAATTCAGAGAGAACGCCTTGGACAATGTAAATGAGACCCCATCAAACGACGAAGATAAACTTAAAATGTTCAAACGTACACCAGGGCGTCGCAGACGTCGTCGTAGACGACGTCGTCGTCGCCGCTTTCTACGTATCCGTGTTCGTGGGAGAAGAATCAAGGAACGTGTTAAAAAAATTGGGAAAGGTCTGAAGAAAGTTTGTAAATTGGTGAAAAATGTTAAAAACAAAAGTAAGTGCTGGCACAAGGAGTTAGGCAGTTTTCCACTAGGCGAATTTGTTTGCGCGAATCAATTCGCCTATTGGAAAACTAGCTTAAAAGGGAGACAGAAGTGGTGGTTAGAGGGCTACCCTTCACTACTGAGTTTAGCCTGCCACCTGAAGGTATTGAATTTTGAAGGTATTGACTATTGAACTGGAAAAGTGCGACCTTTTAAAGTGGTCCAACCCCAGAAAACCTTTGTATTTTTAAGCCTCTGGAGCTCGATTAATCTGCACTATATTTTCTGCACTATATTCCAACCGATAGCAAAGCGTTGGTCACAGAAATAATAAAATACTCTTATTAAGTTAATTATTAATGCATTTCATTTAGTTTATATTTGGAAAAAAAGGGATCTTCGCTGGGGGGGGAGGGGGCAACAAGAGGCCTTGTCGATGAAGTGGGGTGCACTCAGCATGTTAAACTGCCAGTACCTTGACCTGTGGGCTCTTAGGAGGCTCCCTACAGTTTCCAATATATGTCAGTGTTTTAAACTAAAACCTATTTAATTAATTTGAGTCTAATAAAAAACACTATTTTTTTGCACAAGCCATTGTTTCCTCTTATATAAAAGAGTAATTTTAACCCACAATCGCTACTCTTCACCTTACCATGACAACATGACGTCACCATCTATATGGCCTATATCGTCCACAAAAGCCGTCTTAGCGGACAAATAACCACGGTGACTTACCTCAGTTTTATATTGCGGAAAATACAGTGTTATGAAGTTTTGAATTTTGAAAGTTATATGAAAATCGCCAGTGTAGTTTTCGAGACTGAAACTGAATTTCAGCCTTTAAGATTGCATTTTAGCCTTATAAAACGGTCCGTCATGGAATGTCAGTGTGCCAATGTTGAAATTTCGTCTCTCTCCAAGGTTAATCATAGCTATGGCTATGTGCAACTTTTAATTTGCTTTAATTTTTTCTAGCTGTGAAAAACGTTTGCAGCTCCGTCAATATACTTGGAGATGAAGGTATGTGCGGAAAACTGATGAAATATGTGTGCACAAACTGTCAGTAAACAAGGCAATTCGGACAATTTGGGTAGCTCTATCGGTGTAGTCTATAAAGCTCCCCTTAAAGGCCCAGTAAAGGTAATTTCTCATTGGTCCAATGTTACTACATGCAGCCGGAAACTGCGCACTAACCACTGTGTCATCATCAACAGCCCCCGCACAACACCTAAACCAACATAGTCATAGATTCATTATATGTATATTTTTATTTATGTCAGAATTCCCGAAGCTGACAAACGACGAAACGTTTATCCAAGCCGACGAATTAGAAGACGAAAGCTGGCTGAAGGAAGAACGCAGCGATAACCATAACCCTTAAAATAATCGTGTAACAGAATGATGTATAATCACATACTATTAAGTATTATTGATGTAATAAGACTGATCCAAAACTTTAATCTTTATGCATGTACTTTCATAATTTCACGCTTTTTGAATAAATCCTACGTTAAACTCTGAATATGTGTATTTAATCAATGTATTTAATATGTATTTAATCAGGTATTTTTTTTAGTGAGGCCAATTAAAAAAAGGGGATTGGGTTTTTATTTGGGGTTGTCGTCACATGCTCAATATGCATATTTAGATACCATTCGACTGCAAAATAGTACGTACTTAGAAAAAGTAGTTAAGGTGGCTCAATACAGTTTTTGAAGAAATGGAAAATTCAAACGTTTGAAAACATTCCTTTTTAGTATAACTTTTAACTTTCTATACTTCTTCTTGGGAGATAAGCGCATTGATATTACAAACGAATACACTTATCATGGTCTAAAACTCACTCCAAACACTAAATTCGCGGTTGCGACTCAACAACTAAGACTAAGTGAAAAGGCTATGCACGCAGTATTTAAAATTCGAAAACATCTTGACTTTCACAAATTAACTCCAAAGCTTGCCATGAAAATATTTGATGGCATAGTCTCTCCAATCCTACTCTATAACTCTGAGGTTTGGGGGGTCTATGCCAACAACGATTTCATTAAATGGGACAAGACCTCAACAGAAAAAACACACCTAAAATTTTGTAAAATTTATTTGGGTGTAAATAGGAAAGCGAGCGACATCGCTAGAGGGGTGCATGAACTAGGTAAATTCCCTCTGTTTATCCCCATATTGAAAAGACTATTTTCTTACATCAAACACATTAGTCAACTACCAGATTCAAGTATAGCGAAACAAATGCTTTACCTATCAAAAAGACTTTACTTAAACGGTAAAGACTCATTTTACTCTAATGCTGCTAACATCATCAAAACTTCTATCCTAATATCGAAGAAACAATAGATATTGAAAAATTTGTACAAGACACAAACATAACAGATTTCGTAAAAACTATTAAAGATAAATATACATCATTTTGGAAACATCAAATTGAAAACTCTTCAAAACTCTCATTTTATTCAACATTTAAGAAAGATTAGAAGAATACTTAAATAACATCAAAGATCCTAACCAAAGAAGAATGTTCTCAAAATTTCGTGTATGTAACCATAAACTAGAAATTGAGTTCGGTTGCTATAAAAACGTACCTAGAGAAGAGAGATTTTGTAAATACTGCGACAAACGTACAGTTGAAGACGAATTTCACTTTGCATTCGAATGTAATAAATACGAAAATTTGCGAAATAACTCGCACAACATCCTGAAAGACTATTTCCAAATGAATATCACTAATGAATTGAAGAGAAAATTATTAAATGATCTTATGTCATTGAATGACCCTGTGCATGATAACCGATCTAGCTATTTTCCAAGCATGTTTCGAAATGTTTTTATATCAGAGACAACAGCCCCTAAACCAGAAATTTTTATATATTATATTACTTTACCTTCCCTTTTCTATATTACACTCTTTCCAATCCTTTCTATTCTTAAATTTTGATATTTGCCATATATCTTTCCTATTTGATATATATATATATAATTCATGTAAATAGCAGTAAATATTTTCGTTAGTTAAAGTAGTTTTTATACTAGTTAACTTTAATATTTTTACGATTACGCTTATAGCAATACCTGTAATTGGGTCATGCAAATAAAGTAACGTATGTCACGATTAAAACAAGATAAGTGGTTAACGACTCCTGTCATGTCTCCAAATTAAAGGCTAGAGCAGCTATCTCTTAAAAATCGAAATCCACACAATTTTACTTGCCGAATTACATAGAAGATTCCATTAAAGTTTACAGCTATTTATATTTATATTTTTTTGCACGGTAATAAATTTACGTGGTGTTTCACCACAAATAAAACTATTATTACAGCTATTACAGAATGAATAAGAGTTCAATGAAGATGAATAAATTGGCTAAGTGCTGAAGCTAAAAACTACAGTTCATATGACTAATTGTTCACTTAATTGACTATATAATATTGAAAAGATTATATATTGCATTGAAGCTATACTTGTTATCACAAAGGAGTTTCGATACCGTTCAGTCTTAACCGAGTTCGAGGTCCCGAGAAAAGTTAGTAAGATATTTATTATATGGCTTAACCTTTTTCGCTTTTAAAAACAGAAGTGGTCTGTACCGTAGGTTACGGACCGCAAATTGACCAATCACTGAATGCTATAAATTATACACAGTGTTATTTGCCGAAATTTTGCCATTAATAATAAAAGTATGATTTTGGCACGATGTATAGGGCCATTGCAGATTTGCTGGATTCCACAAAAACAGTCAATAACTGGAGATAAGATAAGGAAATCGTATACCACGCTTAAATACCCTATATCCAGGGGGTTTTTTTTGCGAACTTTAAAACGATATAGGTGATATTTTACTCTTCGACAGGTAAATTGTAAGAAAAACTCGATTTGGTGTAAACCAGGAGCAAATCTGCAATACTCCTACATCCAACTCTACTTATCTGTTCGAATTCTCTTCTAATTTTACTGTCCGCGGATCTAATTTCCATAAATCACTATTTATCTATATGAAAATAAGCCCAGCCTCTCGATAGCAAACGCCGCAAAACAGACGAAGAAGAATAAAAAAAAAACATTGAGAAGAACTTTGACTTCGAATCCATTTGACGCGCCCCGACCCGGCATGATCTCTTCCTTAGAGATGTTAAGTACATATTCAGAGCCAAAATGTTCCCTTTGTTATCGCAGGCTGAAAATTGGCGCGAACATTTTGGACATTTCGCCTCCGTTAGCGTTCCAGTAAATTCGGTGACCAACGAGATCTTGTTGCACTTCGGACACTTGTAATCTGTTTTCTGCAAGCCTTTCAAGGACGCCATCAATTTGCCTGCGACTTCAGAACCATGTTTCTTGTGATAGGCCTTTTCTCCTTTCGTCAGGTCATTCAGCGTCCAGAAGACGTCAACGAACTCTAGCCGAAGCACCTCTGCATTTTTTCACCCTGAAGAATCCCATGTCACCCCAACTTGAACCCCAGGAATTCATCAGCGTCAAGCATTTGCTGTTGTAGCTTGTCAACACGACTGCATGCCCTGTTAGGACGGCACCCTCGCGACGTTGTCGTACGTTGATTTCGTCTGCCGTGAGTACACTAGTCGGGTTAGTGGCGTAGAAATGACGGAAAGCTTCCCACTCCTCTTTCGTGAGACAGAATGTTGCTACCACAGGCCTCTTTTTAACAATGGCTTCCATGGCTTGTTTGACGCTAGCTTTTTGGCAATGCAGGCGGTATTTCGGGCATAGTGTCTGCAGAACTCGAATGGTATAAGCACCGTCGCTTCCATACATCCGAATCATTTCATCTTTTAATGCATGGAAATCTGGGTATCCGTCTTCTCGACCGAGAATTCGTTTCATTGCTAAATGGAGCACAGCAGCGCATGCGTTCGCGTAGCAAGTGCCTCCAACTTGTTCCTTCGCTTTAAAACTACCCTTGGTTTGGTTGATGTATATATCTAGATCGACAGATACCAGGAGGTCGGCCAAGGCATCTTGTGAAAAGACCACATTTCGCGCCATGTCGCAAGCTTCCCTTAAGTTGTCGGGATGGTTGACTTGCACGAACAGTTTGGTCTCGTTGTTGGCGGTGTCGATAGTCCAACCACGCCTCACCAAAATTGCGCAAGGCAGAAGCTCTGTTGGCAATTCAGAGCTTAACGAATAGAGAAACTTGGCACCAGGCTCCCAGTTAGATGACATTTTGTCGTACAGCCGTTTGGGCTGAATATCCGTTGATCTGGTGATGAAACAGGACACTACTTTGACGCCTGAATTTCTCAGCTTTGAAACAGCACTTCTAATCTTCTGAGTATCTTTATTACTACCATCCGTAGGCATTCCATCTGACAGGACAAAAAGCAGTTTATTCTCCGCAGTGTTTCCCTGAAACAATTGTGTTGCCTCATCAAGTGCTTCATACAATGGCGTTCTTCCGTAAATGAACGGCTCGACCGTCTCCAGCAACTCCCGGCTTCGTTCAGTTGAAAGTTCTTTTTCATCAACACAACCACGAACAATGTGGGAGGCATCTTGGACACTAAATACGGAGTGCGTCCCGACTCCTCTTAGAAAATAGCACTTTGCACTTCGTACAACTTGACGGATGTCTTCTATTGTAGCGGGTCTGAAATAAGCAACTGCATTTAGCAGCATATTTCCAAAGAAACCAACTATAGGAATATTAGGAACAATTTCTCGACAAGCCTGCGGTAAAAACTCGTACACAAACCTTATGAGAAACTGTTGATCACACTCAAGTTTCATCAAAATCAATGCAATCACGAAATCAGATACTGCACGTTGAATGACATTAACATTCGCCCATCTCCGTATGCTATATGCGCCATTACGTTCGAGGATTTCCAGCACCTTTTCGATGTGGTCCTCCGTGGCTGGCACATTTTTAGTATAGCTAGGAATTTTTGTGTTCTCTATTTTCTTAACACTCCCGATAACATCAAAAATCTCTTGGCTACCATTCCCGCCGACGCCGAAAGCGAAAACCTGATTCTCACAAGAAACGTCATGTTCGATAAGGTCATCAATAACTTTAAAGATGGAACGAGCCCACGGTCCACCCTCTTCATCAGTGCCACTTCCAATGTTACTTTCCATTGAACCAGAGACGTCCAGCAGTATTCCAGTTAATGACATGGTGGTCTTTCCTGCAATAGAGAAAGATTGGCTGAGAAATAGAAATTATCCCACTGCTTGGCATATAAGCGCCCCTGTTCCCGAAACGATGCAGGCGTATTCGCTTTAAAGCAAGATCAGGGCGCTCGAAAACATAGCACCCTGGTCAAGATTGTAGAATTTTACACGATTTTGTTTCTTGGCCCTTGGGACTTTTCTCCCACCATAGGCCGATGTTGTAGATTACGTCATAAGTTGAATGAAACAAGCTTCCGGGAAAGACTTCGTCCAAAGCACAATTTTACCTGTTACAGTCAAATGTTACACAAGATTAAACCTGTTACAGTCAAATGTTCTTCTTCTTACAATCTTACAATATTGACAGCAGTATTGTAATTTTGGTTCATCAAACTTCCTCCCATGTTGCTCAAAAAGTCCAATTTCAAATGTGAAACTTCACATCGTGTGATAATATCAACTCAAGTTCAGTACTCAAATGCAAAGTTGAATGTCACATGTTGTGAAGTTTATCATCTTAGATAGGATTTTTTTAGCAATCTGTAAGGAAGTGTGACAAACCAAAATTGCAATGTTTCTATCAACATTGCATTGACTGTATGATAAAGGAAACTAGTTTGACTGTAAGCTAGCCTGCGTCACAGTAGCCAACGCCCTCAATTTAAATTGGGGGTTTTGGAGCATAGACGGTTTATGTGGGATTCCTAACGGTCTATGCGTAGGCTAGTGTCGCAGCCCTCACTCGAACTCGGTACGAGTAAGGTCAGTCAACACTCGCGCGTTTGCTTGTTCCTGCATAAATTAAATCCCAGGTTTTGGGGAAATAATGTACGAAAAATTAAAATTGTTTACATTCAATGCCGACCACAAACCTTGTATTTAAATTGTAATGCTCGAAAATTATTTGAAAAAGCGACATTTTGAGGGTAATTTGGAGCACAATATAAAGGTCTTGAATAACTGATTCTTAACAGCCTGAGCAAGAGTGAGGCTAAATATAAGAAACCGAAACCTAAAATTTGCAAAAAAATGAACGACTCCTTTAAAGTCTCTGTCAAATAATTTATTCTTAACCAAGTTATATGGAACGAAG